ACACACACACACACACACACACACACACACACACTGCCCGTGGTCCACTGGCATCCGAAAAGGCTTCCTGCCCACAATCCTCACGCCGCTGTAACTCTACACACGGCCAGGTGGGTCACCCTGACATTTCGGCCCCTCAGATCAGATCGTCGCCCCCTCAGATGTCAGCTTCAGACACACACGCCACGTGAAGCTCATTCCACCCCACCTTCCGCTCATCTGCGAAAAATGCGAAAAATTTGTTTTTGTACACGGCGGTCGGATGGTGCATCTATAAACGGGAGCGAGAAGGATTATAAGTGGTAAAAGCAAACAAAGGGGAATACGACAGCTTTTAAGAGGCCATAAACAACAAGGCAGACATTTAATACCCGCATTGGGGAGGGCGGCCGGGAAGAGGGCGCAATGGGGGGGCTTAACTGAACGTCAGATAGACGGACCACCAGGGGACGAAGGGGTGCCCCCCTCCCGAACTAGAGATGAGGGTCTGAGACACAAGGCACAGGAACGTCCAAACCCAGCACAGCACAGGTATGCAGCACGGCTCAATGTCAGGGTGGGTGGGGGGTGGGAATGAGACGGAAGGAGATAAATAAAAAGAGAGGAGACCGAGAGCGAGGAAGTGATGGAGGAAATATGAGATGTGAGCGAGCAAGAAAAAATGAGAGCAAGAAGAGGAAAAATGCAGGAGAAAGAGCATGGGAGGGGGTAGTGGTGACTGGGACCATGGTAGTATGGGTGGGGTGGGGGGGCGATAAGAGTTAATGGGAACTCCTCCCCCAAGCCCTAGCTTGTTTGCCAAGCCGGGATGAATAATTACCAGCAATCAGAGCTTCCCTTCCTCGTTTTTCAAAGCCCTGCCCCGAGGGGGGGTGGGGGGGGGCGTAAGATCTCCGGCGCGGATGGCGCCTCAGGTTTCCAGGCGCGGAAAAACAGGGGAAAATGGGATCTCCGCGGAGAGGAAGCGGAGCAGACGGCCCGCGCGAGCAGGCCCGGTGGCAGCCGACACGTGGGGGCGACAGGAGGGGCGCCGAGGGCACGACCCCCCCGTCACGGCGACGAGACACACATCCGGCACACACACACGCAGCAGCACGGCGCCGACAAGGAGAATCAGAGAATTTTATAGGATTATATAATATCCATCCATCTTGCGAAGGTTTATCCAGGTCATGGTTGGGAAGGAAAATTATGTAACGGACATCGGAATTGTTACATGCGGAGGGGAGACTGAGGCTCACGTCAGCTGGCCGGAGCGGGATTTATATCCCCATTTATATTCCGGGCAACGTTTTTAAAATGAATCATGCAGACCTCAAAGCCAGCACCTTCACCAGGCCCAGTAAGAGGAGGGGCACCCTCTCTTCAAGTGAGGGGGGGGCACAGCTGAGGTCTGTTTGACAGGTGGGGTTTTGATCCCCCGCAGTTCGGGGATCTGAATGAGTGGTGCTGCGTTCTGGCACCAGCCGCCAGGTCGGACCCCCGAAACAGAACAGGCTGAGGTAGGGGCTCAAGCGACACTGTCCCCACATATGGGAACAATGGAAGCCACAGCTGTCACAAATTGGGGGCACTGGGGGAGTTAGGTGGGGGGGGGGCAGGCATGATGTCCTCAAAGCCCGCGGCCAGCAGCTGGTGCGGAATCTGTATGCACTCGGTGACGGGTGTGGCGTGTGCGTGGCGTGTGCGTGGTGTGTGTGTGCGTGGTGTATGTGTGCGTGGTGTATGTGTGCGTGGTGTATGTGTGCGCAGTGTGTGTGTGGTGTGTGCGCGGCTTGTGCGTGGCGTGTGTGTGCGTGGCGTGTGTGTGGCGTGTACGTGCGTGGTGTGTGTGTGGCGTGTACATGGCGTGTGTGTGCATGGCATGTGTGTGGTGTGTGCGTGAGCACGAGTGTGTTTATATGCCAGCGAGATGGGCGGGGTTCATCCGCAGCCAACCC